TTAGGACACATTCTCAGTGTTTATATCTTGTCTATGTTGATTTTCCACACAAGAAAGCAACCCATGAAAACCCCAAGACTAAAAAGTAATGCAAAGAAAATGATAAGAAAGCATAAAAAATCAACTTCAACGGATAAAAAGCAAAAGGGAAAGCGTAGAGAATGGAGATTAACTTTCAGATCAAAGATGGGGACAATAGTGAAGCTATTACAACACATCAAACTTAGGAATGAGCATATTAATGGTTTGAAGAAAACCCCATCTTGGTTATTGTTTGATGCAATATTGAAAAACAAGATGAATTATAAATAATGCAGAAAATATGATGACATTGCATTGAAAATAATTCAAACATACCAGCCAGGCAGCAGTGGTTCTTTCCAGTTAGGACCAGAAACTATAAAGCTAACAACAGAAGACATCAAGCCCATCTTCGGTATATCTTGTGGAGATGAGCCAATGCATCTTGGTTATGGAAATAAAAGTATATCATCATTTCTGACAATAAGATCCATACAAACTGAAAGGCTATCGAGCACAACCATCACAGACTTGTTGCAAAAAGCATTGAAAGGCAAGAAGAAAGAAGACACTGAAGATGTGATAAGGATGTTGTGCATGTATACTTGTTTGAAGCTTTTTTTCTTTACATCAGGAACAACAGTTGGATGGGTATTTCTTAATTACATGGAAGACATAAACTCAATGAGAAAATACAATTGAGTAGAAGCAATAAGGAACACACTGATGTCTTCAATTGAAAATTACCACAAAAATCCAGCAAAAGTCACAGGATGTGTTATAGCTCTCTTGGTAAGTACATCTTTACTTTATTCTATTAGTTTGTTGTTGATAATAGATAGTATTATTTCTTATTCAAATGACAAAAATTTCTTTACATATGCTTTATAGTATTGGTTGTGTGAGCACACACTGATCATCCACCCTGAAGTTAGCAAAGCATGCCCAAGGGTGATCAAGTGGAATCTTATCAAATTACATAAACGTATGAAAGTCATATCACTACATCAGCTGACAACAAGACATGTCACATCCTCATCTCATTTGAATTTCAATTCAAGTTGGGAAAAATCCCTATTTTTATACACTGAATTATTACTGAAAAACTTTTTAGTTTCCTAAACTTCAATTATTTCAAAAACTAATATCGATTGTATGTTGACCTACAGGTAACCAGTGCTCAATTGAGTGAGGAAAGTGATGAAGAACTTGATGACACTGAAGAAGAAGAAAAAGAAGATGCCGAAAATACTGAAGATGAAGAACAAGAAGATGCTGCAAAAGCAGATGCTGAAGAAGAAGAACAAGAAGTAAAAGAACAAGAACAACAAAAACAAGATGCTGAAAATATTGAAGAAGAAGCAGAAGATGAAGAAGAAGAAGAAGATGGTCAATATGCTGAAGAGTGCCACCAAGGACAAAAGCCAGCAAATGAAGACTTTAATGGCTTCTGCAACATTATACTCAATGATGCACTTGAGGGAGAATAACAAATTCATCAACAAACACTTGAGAAACTTCAAACTGAGAACAACAATTTGTAACTTGACAACATAGTGAAGACCATCAACATAAATAAACTTGAAGAGGATAACAGGCTACTCATAGCACAAATACAGCAATTGAAAGATATAAATTCTCGATTGCATAACCAATTGGTTGAAAAAGAGGTCCATGAGATAACCCAAGAAGTTTGTGGAGTAAAACATTCTGGGATAGATGCAAAGAATGAAGGTCATACAATAAACGATGAAAATTCTCAAGTGCTGCAGAAAGAGGTCCATGAAAATTCTGAAGTGGTGGACAAAGAGCTCCATCAAAAAGAGGTCCATGTTTAGCGCAACATCCTTTTGCAACAAAACATTGTGAGACAAATACAAATGTGAAAGATTGTCAAAATTCTCAGTTGCAGAATCAGTTAGTGGAGGAAGAAGCCCATGACTTAACCTAACAAGTTTGTGCAATAAAAGCCGATGATCTGATAGAATCAAGACAAACAAATCTACAGAATTCCATGATTAAAAATATTAAAGCTAAAGCAAGGAAGACTACTGAGATATCAGATTATAAGTATAGAGGCAAGAAAGTTAAAGTTGAGAAAGAGAAGGAACATAAAGATGAGACAATTTCAAACAAGTATGCTGTGGCTTAATTGCTACCTCCTGAAGATAAATATAAACTACAAATTCTTTGGAAAGAAAAGCAAACAAAATCAAGGTATAATCTTACATAAATCTTTCAATTTTTCATGTAGTACAAATATATGAAATGAAATTGAGAAATAGCTCTGCTTTCTAAAAATATTTTGACTTAATTATTAACACATTTTTTTATTGTTTTGTAGTACTTGCATATGGTTTGGCGCAAGATATGACAATTGTGTGTTTATTAATGATATTAAGAACTTGGTACAAGGGACAAACATATCCAGCTGTGTACGTATAATATTTGTAATATTTTAACACTGAAAAACTTCTCATTAATTTGTTAACATCACTTTTGTGTTTCAATTTGATAGACAATTGATGCGTATGCTGAGATTCTTGAAAGAGAACCACAAGCACAGAATTCTGGTGATGGAGCAGAGCACAATGGCAAGTCTTTTATACTGTCAAGTCTATATTGGGTGAGGAATAAATGTGCATGTGTCAATTCTATACTTTATCTTCTGCTTAATTTTGGTTTCAAAGTACATTTTTTTGTGTTTGTTATCATTGTTGTGAATGTTCTCAAATTTTGATTTTGGTATCATTGCTGGGAATATACTCAGATTTCAAAACAATTTGAGTGATAAATCGTAGTTAATCATGTTTTGTTCATTTTCATCGACATTTGAATATTGAGTTCGTACCATTACTGTGAATATTCACATATTTTTTGTAAAAAAACAGCCAATGTTGAAGAAGAAAACTTCAGAACAAAGGAAAAAGATTTTGAAAAATACTTTGCAAGAATCCCTCCCATGTAGATACATCCATATCCTCATCCGCAATTTCAATCATTGGACATTACTTGTTATCGACAAACACTTGGGGACTTGGAAATATTTCAACTCTTTGAGACCAAGAAAAGGAAAGGACAAGCACTACAACGTTGCAAATCAACTAGTAAGAACAATTTCAGATTACTATTACAATAATCAGATGTAAATCATTACATACTTTATATTGATGTTTTTTACAGCAAAAAATCATCCATCAATACATGAATGATACACCTTGTCAAGCAGAAAAAACATGGAATCCTGATGTCAAGATTGAATCAGTCAAAGACAGCCCTCAACAAGATGCAATGACGTATGTTAATTTATTCTAACTAACAAATTTTAATATCTTTTTCAAAAAATTTTGTTTTTTCCCTAACTGTGTCAAAAATGATTTTTGTAGCAATGACTGTGGAATTATTGTTTGCTACATCATAAGACAATACATGAGGCATCAACCAATTCCAAACACATTACCACTAGGCACATCCACAAGACTCGGAGCAGACATGGTACATGAGTTGCTCAGTGATCCACAAAGATCAATCAGAGTCAAGTAGAGTCAAGATTGCAACATTCAATGAAATCTTTTTTGATGTGTAACTCAATGAACTCTTTTTTGTAACACTCTGATACAATGACTAATGTTTTTGTTAATAGTTCCAAGCATATTACCTAACAAACATATTACAATTTCTATGATGTGTAATGAAATATTTTGTCATACTCTCAAAGATACATGCACCCGAGCTTTGTTGATATTTTTGTCCATATTCTCAGTTTCTATTATCCTGTTCCTCACACTACTATATGGGAAAAGTGAAAATAGTATTACATGTGAAAATAGTGGACACAAGACTTTACTGTATCACAATCAGTGCTTTGTTGATGTTTTTGTATATATTTTTAGTTTCTATGCAGTGTTTTGTTGCCTCACAATATTATCACAATCACTTATTTTCAAACTTAGAAACTTTAAAACTGAGAATATTTTCAGTTTTATACAGATCACTCAATTTTCAAACAACAATATTATCACAACAATTTATTTGTTGCCTCACAATATTATGATAATTTGAAAAACTAAAATTCAAAACAAAGAATATTTTCACTTTCAGTCCACTATTACTTTAATCAAAACATAGAGCATTGACCACATCTATTTGGAATATTAATTCACATTCATTTAATTGATCACATTTATAACCAGTTCCAATTCATAATAAGAGCCTCACACTATTATCACAAAATCAGCTATTTTTAACTAAAAACTTAAATTGAGAATATGTTCACTTTTTATACAGTATTCACATAATCTTCAAAACAAACATTCAACAGTCAAGTTTATTTTCGAAAGCTAACCAAACAATATTATCACAAACAATTTCAAAATTAAAATTTGAAACTAAGAATATTTTCACTTTCAATTCAATGTCACTTTATTCAAAACATAGAAGATTATTACTCAACGCTCAACAGTACAAACTGTTACTTCAAGAAATTTATGAATACGAAATTTTTACAATCACAAAGCAACTACAAAAAATCACTAAGCCTCCTTACATGATTTCTTATTGTGATTGCCAACCTTCCCACATCTACTACAAGTAATTTGCCTTACTTTCTCACCATTCGAACGAATCCTCTTTTTATTTGGCCTTCCTGGTTGCTTCTTAGACAAAGGAGGAAGAACGACTTCACTATCACCATCAACATTACAATCTGGTTTCCAAATTGAAGGAACGGGATATATGGGAAAAGAATAGGACTCTCGATAACTTTGAACATAGAAATATTGATCAACAAATAAACTCAAATCATGTCCACTCTCCGGGAAAGGCCAATGTTGTGGCCGATGTGGGGGTCAGAAAGCTGCTTCTTCTTCAGCTAGACCGCAGAGTCAGAGTTTGGGCAGGGAGACACCTGCCTGTATCTTTGATGGTCGAAGGAGAAAGCTTTGATTCAGTGGTTCCGGTCCTCAGTCATTCCATTATCCCTATATAGTTGTGTTACAAATCAAACCATTCCATTTATTAACAAGTTCCCTCCTCTTAGCAATTTTCCTCGTCAACTCAATTCTTACACTATCAATCAACTTTGTGATAGGCAAGTGGCGTTCCTTTTGTATTCGCGAATTAAAAGATTCAGCTACATTTGACCACATCTCTCCAAAGTGTTGCCCTCGAAAATATGCATTACTCCAATGATCATATGGTATGTCATCTAAAAACTTTTCAATTCTTGACCCACCTTCAGTCTTTAACTCAACCAAACATTGATGAAATGTTTCTTCAGTTAGAGCATATGCACATTTCCCAAACAGAGTGCTCAGCTTTTCTTTCAATCTATGAAACATACCACACAAATGATGCCTCAAGTTCATCTTCAAATGATATAAACAATAAGCATGGAAAGCCATTGGGAAAACCTTTGGCAACACTTCAACTAATCCAAGGTTACGATCTGACACAAATGTAATATTTCGTTCTGGTAAAACAATTCTACTCAAATGCCCCAAAAACCAACGCCAGTTATCTTAATTCTCTGAGCCAACAACTGTAAAACAAACTGGAAAGAACCCTGCATGTACAAAACAAAAAAAATGAAAATATTCTATTATTCTTAGAAAATGGTAACACCTTAACATTCAAAATATCAAACACTAAAATGAATAACTGAAAAAATAAAAAAAGCATATACAACAACAATATTATATAAAATTTAAAACATTCAATCATATTTCTAAACTGAGAACTTTCTCAATTTCAAAACAGAGAAAACAAATTTCTTATGTGCCTTGATTTCCATCTTTTCCTGTAGCAGCAAGTAAATTTCCTTTAAATCTTCCCTTCAAAAATGTGCCATCAAGGAATAAGAGAGGTCGACAATAATCAAATCCACTAGTGGAACCATGAAAAGCAACAAATAATCTCTTAAACCGTTTAGTATCATCGTTACACTCAAATTCAATGTAACTCCTTGAATTGCAACTCTTTGCAACATCCACATACCATCTTAATTGGTCAAATGACATTAAGTAGTCTCCAAAAATCTCACCGTTTGCTTTCTCTACCCCCAACCAAGCATGACGATAACTAACTCTCAATCCATACCCCAACTTAAAATCCTGAACAACATGAACTGGACGTGTCAATGGATTATCACGAATATCTTCAACAATCTAATCAGCAACTAAATCAAAACTCATATGAGAATGATTCATCGTACGTACTTCAGCACCACATATGTGGCCATTGTTCAACTTCCTTATACAAAAGAACCCATTAGCATTCTCTACTCTACCATGAACATTCCACATACAACCTTTTGTCTCTCAGTAACACGAACTTTATCATTCTTAACAAATATGAACTCAAATCCATAATCAGTAGAAAACTTCAACAATGCATTACAAAATTCAACAACTCCACCTTCAAATTTCTGTCCTACATGTGTAATACTAATTGCCCAACCAGCAGACAACAGTACTTTTTCCTTATGTCAACAAAATGATGATAACATATCAACCTCTTCTTAACCTCTAACCTCGAATTCCTTTTGGAGGATATAGATGCTCTGTTTGACAAGTTCACAGACTTATTGCTGTCATGAGACAATGCAATATCACAAACTTCAAGATCCAACATTGACTCTCTTTCTCCATAATCCAATCTTTTGTTGAGATAACCACAATTATCAGATTGGAAATTATCCCATTTCAAACATAGCTTCTCAACCAACTGATCATATGTAACATTTTGATCAATCTTAATTGCAAATGTGCAACCATTATACTTGCACAACAAAAAAATAGGCGCACTCATACAACCTTCACTCATCTTTCAATCTAAATAAGAAAAAAAGATCGCACCAATAAAAACCAGAACAAATACTTCATAACAATACTAAGAACTTTCTTAGTTTTCACAAATACTTCATAACAATAAACACCAGAACAAAAAACTTCATAACAATACAAATACTTCACAAATCACGTTTTCAAGTCATAAAATAAATAACCAAGCTGAGAAATCATCCAACAAATCACGTCTTCAATTGGTAAAAACAAAATTATTCAACATATTCTCATAAATAAATTCAATCAAAACTAAATAAAATTCTAAAAAAACATAATATACAAAATCGAAACAATACATACCTATAAACCAAATCGAGATCAAATACCCAGCAAATCAATTCTTAATTTATAAATCGAAATTGTACATAACAAACTCTAATAGATTTCAACTCAAAAAGCGAACCAAACTAAGAAATCCTTCAAGATCTTTTCCTATTCGAATCAAAATCGAGAAATCAATTACGTATAATAGCGAGCCTAAGCAATAAATCCTTCAAGATCATTCACGATTCGAATCTTCAGCTACTTCCATAACTGATCTGTTAACTGATTTCTTTTTTCTTTCTAGTGAATGGAATTTTATATACAGTTGTTCATGTTAAAGGGCAAACACGTCTTTTTACCTACAAATGGGACTTATTGGTTCAAATTTTTTTTGATAGGACCTAAGCTACAACCAAACATGTTGATAGGACTTTTAGGTAATTATCTCTAAATTTAATAGGTCTCTTTGCTTCTATTAGTGATAATTTGATCTTTTCATTTACTATTTTGAAGTCAATCTATAATAATAATAATAATAATAATAATAATAGAATTTAGTTTTTTAAAACTAGAGAACTGAAATTGATTTGAAATTAAAAAAAATTATGAATAATTTCATTTAGTAAAAATTAATTTCGTAAAATTTAACTTATGAGAAAAAACTTTAATGTTTCCATGCATTTAATATTTCAATTAATTCAGGAAATTATGAAATGAGCCTAAGATGATGATACCATGATACCTATCCTAATTTTTTTTTTTGAAAAGAAAAAAGGAGAATCCTATTTTTGCATTTTTTGTATTAATGATTTTTTATAATTATTTTTCTTTACAAATATTATAACTTTTGAGTGTATTTATATTAAATTTATCTAATATATATATATATATATATTAGATATATATATATATATATTTATATCTAAAACTAAAAAATTGTGACTAAAATTTGAAAAAAAAAATACTTAAAAAAATATGAATAAAAATAAAAAGAAATTTTAAAAACTAAATCTAGTCTTTTGTAATCTTGTGTATTTTAGACGACAATTGCCAGCATAAATGTTTGTGACAGCAGTGAAAATAAGTGGACCATAACATCGAGTACTGCTCTTATTAGACAATAAGTTCACTTATTAGGACCTACACGTAAGTACCCCTTTTAATAATTCAATGAGATATGTTTCCATTTTTTTTATCACCTATGTAAATATTTATGATTGGTTTTTTATTTAAAAATAATTATTAACAAAATAATAAAAATAAATAATATATTATCATATACTTTGTAATATAAAAAATAAAAAAAGTGATATATAACAATCATCTGATCTAAAATGTAGGGCTGCTCGCGGGTCGGTTTTGGCCGGGTGCGGGTCAAAACCGACCCGACCCGCACTTATGCGGTTGAGGAAAAATAGACCCGCAACCGCCCGCGATGCGGTTCACGGTTTGTGCGGGCGGGTGCGGTTCGATTTGCGGTTTAGTTTTTTTTTTTTTTTTTTTTTAACTTAAGCAAATTTGACATTTTTTGTTACTTTCTAAACATTTTTTTTTTCCAGAGAGTTATAAATTAAATTAAAAGATAACAATTCATGATCATAATAAATAGTCCACATGTTAAATAAGATGATATGGAACCATGCTTGAGGATAGTAATTAATCTTCCTCCTTAGCTTGCAAAACAAACCCTTAAAAGTCAAACTAGTAACACTAATTTAAATATGCAAAAACAAACCCTAAAAGTCAAACTAGTAACACTAATTTAATAGTGAATTAATCTTCACTGTTTATTTTTAATATGCAATAATGTGATAATAGAATGACAATTCAAAATATCATATTTAACTGTGTTACTAGACTAATAGAATATAATGGTTTTTTTTTATATATATAAATAAAAGTCAAACTAATAACACTAATTTAAATATCATTAGATCATGATAATGTATATAAGTGCCCATATAATAAATTTTACTTTCATCCAAAATGTAAAAACAAAAATAATAACTAGTTATCTCCATCCATCCAAAATGCAAAAAATAATAATAATAACTAGTTATTTTTTCTTTAAAAAAAAAAAAAAAGATGCGGGTTGCGGGTGGGTCGGGTTCGACCCGAACCCGATCTTTTGCCAATTTCTTGACCCGCACCCGCCCGCCTACCTACATCGAAACCGCCCAAAGCACTGCGGGTAGGGTAGGGTCGGGCGGTTTGTGCGGGTGGGTGGGTTTGTTGCCCAGCCCTACTAAAATGTGATGTGTTGAATCCAAACTCAACATAAAACACTAGTAGGTATTATCTCATCTTTCATGTTAGAATCACATGTTTCAAAGTTCATAAGTAAGGTTTAATTTTATTTTTTGGTCCTTAAATTATGAGTCTTGTGTTTTAGGAAAAATTAGTTAAGGTCAAATCCATTTTTAATTTTGGGTAGTAGGAGAGGTCAAATACATTTTTTCTTATTAGTTAAGGTCACAGGCAAATTTCTATGTAACGAGCAAGAATTTCTATGAAGCTAAAATTTCTCTTTGAAGAACTGAAATTTCTCTGTGAAGCTGAATTTTTTTGTGTGAAAGTGTTGATGTGATGTCCCGGGTATATCACCTGCTTCATCCTTCTTTTAATTTCATTAAATTTCCTATTTCAGGTTTTAATTCGAGGCCTTGTCAACCGTGTGGGTTCGTCACACTCCATATTCTTGTGTATTGTGATCCTAGACTATTATTAGGTTTGATTTTTTTTCTTGTTTTGAGTACGGAGGCAAACTGGGGTGGAGAAAAACCTAGTTAAATTTAGAATCATTTTCTGGTAAGCAATCCTGAGGAGTGGGGTCGCCCATGTAGTGAGAGGCGAGTTCTAAGGCTCAACTACTAGAATAAAAGCACGTGCGAAAGGAGGAAATCCCACGTGCGGAAGGGAAACATCGCACATGTGGCCTAGGGCCCACACATGTGGAAGGAAGGCGGCTATAGCTTGCTTTTCGTGCTCCTCGCAGGGGTTTAGTCTCCTTGGATACAATAGTCCTATAGTTCAAACTCCCGTGTGTAGACACCCCATTTTTGACCGCCCTTAAGACTTGGGTGTCACTGATTGGATCATTCGAAGGTGCAGGCTATGCAGTGCAAAGGTTTGATTTCTTTGGCAAGGAGAGCGTCAAATCCCAGCCTTACACCCCATTTTTGGACTAAAGATTTTAGACCTTAAAACCCTCTCTTTCAAAATATTTTTAAAACAAAGTTCCTACGATGTTCCAAGGCTCACATTTCGTTGAATGTTGCGCTTTTCGGTAAACTAAGCAAGGACATAGTGGAATAAATGAAGGAGAGGTGAACTCTTTGAAAAAATCTTTAAAACATCTTGTTTATAGGTTTGGGGTTGAAGAAAAGAGGAGAGGAGAGAAGAAACCAAGTTGGGGGAGAAGATGTGCATGAACCGTTAAGAGAGAGTCGAGCAGCCCTCGCTAAATTGGGCCTATCCATTTGTACATTTGGATTTTAGCTATGAGGCCACCACCGTTGGAAAGAAGACTTCCGGGGCTACATGTTACACTCAGTAATCTCCTAACGTCGAGTTCGGATGAGGGATATATGGCTGGTTGAAGTTGGGCATCAATCCGATTGAGTTGAAACTGAGCAGTCTTCACTAAAAGAAAGATATCTCTTAGCAAACTTGGAATTTTGATGTGAGTCTTCCACCATTGGAAAGATTACTTCCGGGGCTTCAATTTAGGCACAAGAATGATCTGAAAAGGAGTCCATATGAAGGAGTTATGTTTGTTTGAAGTCGAAGACTGGGACCAGTTTTTGCTGTCGGCCACTGGGGGAGTGTGTCGTCCACTAATGGCCTTTGTTGGCCATATGTCGTCCAAAAGGGGTTCTTGTTGGCCAGAAAAGTGGCTGGTTGGCCACTTGAAGTGGCCGGTTAATCACCACAAGTGGCCAGTCGGCCACCCATGTCCAGAAAGCTCATAATTTGCAGATCTTTTGCTCCAGCTGTTTTCACATTGCTCCAACTGTCCCAATTCAGATATTTCGACCCAAGGCTCTTATATTACTATATATTGAAGCCATATCTCTCATATTGCAAGGTGGACAAGTTTGGGAGCCTCTCTCTCTAAAATCCCTCTCTCTTTACAAAATTTCAGCCTCTCTCTAGAAGCATCTCTCTCCTCCTATTTTGTGCTTAAAAGTGGGAAATCTCTACATATTTGCACACAACCCCTTAGTCAAATTAGATTACCTTGTGGCTGAGGTTCTTAGAGGTCTTATTTGAACTCTCAAAGCTGGTTTTAGCTCACAGTTGAGGCTGTTTTTGCTGTTTTTCTGTTTTGCTTTAAAGGTATAAGACTTACCGTATTTAAGCTTGTTTTGCATGCTTGTTTTGCCACATTTTCAAACTATTTTTGGCCTTGTTTTCAACTACAAAAACCTCTATATTTTAGTTCTAAAAATGGTGGTTTAAGGTTATTTTGTGTTAAGGGGTTGTCTCCCCTTTCTTGTTGCTTATTTGCATGAGCCTTTGCATCATCTTCTAGCATATTAAAGTCAAACTTTTTGGGCCTTTAAACCACTGAAATTCAGAGGTATTTTAGTGGTGGAAAATATGCTTTGAAGTCCAAAAAAGGAGGGGTTGGCCTCCCCTCCTTGTGTCTTGTTTCTATGCTTAGTTAGCATCACATGGTAGCATGTTTTTCTGGCTTAACCTAGCTTCTTTCCAGCATATTTTTGCCTCTGATTTGGCATGTTTTAGGACTGTTTTGGACTGGTTTGGTCCTTTGAGTCTTGCCTTGTATGCTTGTTGTGCAATTGTG